ATAGACAATAGAGCATGTGTGAAATAAAAGACTTGACATTACTTTTGGCGAGTAAGTTATATGTTTTTTGGCATTTAAATGTGGTGGGTGATAACCTTCAATGTGTTACTTGGAGAGATATTTTCTTTTCTCGAGTTTCCTATAAAGGAGTGATTTATCTAATTGCTTTGTGTCACAACAAACATCGCAATTGCTTTGCTGCATTTCATTTATAAATAATGTGAAAATTCCTATACTAATAGATAATATAAATACATGACCATTTGTTTTTGTTGCCAATAGTCTACATACAACTTTTTTTCAAAATATATACTCAATATTATTACCTAGATTTTTCAATTTATTTTTTACGTAACCTATGACTACATTCCTATAAAAAACGATTTTTTAAAATTCAAAACAAAAAATCATGCATTTAAGGGTTAGCTTCCCGAACAAAGCATTTATGGACTTTCTGTCATATAACATTTTAGTCTTACTTTTACTCACAGGACACACTCCCGCAGTATGTATGAAAAAATACGGGATACCCTGTATTTTTAGCTGTATCGAATTCTGCATAACAATATACAGCGACTTTATTTCATACTATTTGCAAAATGGTTCTATATTATAATGTAAAAATAGATAAACATCGAGTACGTAAAAGTGTGTACATTTTTACTTATTATACTTATTGTCTTATAATCTCATGATCTTATAATCTTAATACGGTCGAAAAGGAACAGTTGAAGGAAATGCCTGTTTCATTTTGTAAGTTAAGAGGCCATGAAACATACCAGCTGCTTACACGCGAACGGGATGCCCGTGGATTAAAGAATGAATTCTGATCTTAACGAGGTAATCGCACAGCCTCCCATCTTTGTCCCGAAATGACCACGACATTCTGCGCTGAAAGGCTTAAGGAAAGGGGGCGTCAACGAGGCGTCGCGCGTCGGTATACTGTGCAATCGTTTACCGTTGCAGACGCGAGTCATAAAATCTAACGACCTAAGGAAAGTATATAGGGTGTAATGTAACGACGAACAGAACCTATGATTTAATGATTTTAAACGCGAGAGTTAAGTGAATTGTAGTGTGGATGGTTTTTGCGGAGATCTGTATTCTCCGAATGAGTGGTCTTAGAAGTTGATGTGAATTTTATATTGTTGACTAATAAATTTCAAGTGGTTGGGTCCGTTTCTTATGGCGATTAAACACTTGATTGACGATCATTTTAACTGAGCATGATAAAAAGATCAGGCCACTTCTAAGAAAATAATTTTCTCCTTATAAATTATGTTTATCCTTTATTACTTTTCACTGCCTCCGAGACATTCAAAAATGTATGTTCGAGAAGTCTATCGTTTTTCACGCGATCTGTATGCGTATGTTACTAGTTTGTTAGCCACATTTATGATGAGAATAGTTTTATTACGTAATTCATTTATTTATTAATGCTTTAAACTAGACGATTCGTTTAGCAAATATAGGATTGTCACATACACATAGACTCGATATTTACTTTTTATTCATTTGCAAATTCTTGCTGAACATTATTTAAGGAAATCATAAATTAACTTAGTCGTTCCATATCGGAATTAAATAAGAAGAAACTAATACAAAGAGAAAAACAGTGCTTGATTTTTAGAAGCTGTTCCGTCCTGGACGGATCAACACCGAATAATCTGTCAGGTCACTTGAGGGCCTACGAGGTCTAAACTACGGTCCCGAGAAAAGGTGCCTGACAGACCAATAAAATAAACCGAACCCTACGGGACAAGGTTCAAATATTTCGGATTTACAACGACGACCCGCTGTAACGACATTTTTTTACCGTTTGCTTTACCGGTTAGAACCGGTAAAGTAAAAAAAAGGGAAATAGTTTTATTGCTGTACTTTAGCCGGAGACCCAAGGTGGTCTCCAACTGCCTTCCGTCGACTTGCCCTTTTTTCAAGGCCCTAGAGCAACGTCTTCGGAAGTGGGGGCAGGTTGGGGGTGAAGCCAATCAGGCTCCAAAAATTGGCCGCACAAAATTGACTCCACCCCGAGCAAGTCAACCTGCAACCCAAAATTTGTCGAGACAGTCAGTCTTGTCGGTAACTCTCACGAGAGATGGTCAATCACTCTCACGCACAACTGTAAACCCCTGGACCTTCTTCAAATAAACTGTGTTGCCTTGCGTTTTCAACCTAGTTTAAACCTTTTTTACAAATCAACTTCACCGCCATTAAGTTGACGTTGGAGGCGCAGCATTTGGAGGAGCAACCTTCAATCTG